AGGTGGGAAATACAAGGGAATAAAGGCATACCAGGCAGAGACAAGAGCATCTGCAATGCACTAAGACACGAAAAAATATGGATATGGTCAAGATATGGCACACTGTTTTGAGTTCCTAGAAATGGGTGAGGTGTGGGTCGGGGATTGTCATGAAGTCTGCTTGTAATGTAGTAAGGATGCTAAACTAATGAGTTTGAACTTTAAACTTTATCCTGTAGACAGTGGAGAGCTAGTCAAAGTGTACAGTTTGTGGGCACTTCATCTTCCAGCTATAATGGGCAAACAGACACCAGCTTTACCCTACCATCCCAAACAATTAGAACACTTTACAAAATATGTAAAACAATGATTTTCCGATATTGGACAGCACACAGTACAAGACAATCATTCTTGAGAAAAAGGAAACAAATAAGATGAGCCCCACAGTTCCTGTGGCTTCTTGTCTACAGGAAAGTTCCGCATTTCAGGCCAGAGGGTGGTCTTGCTGAGTCGAGGATACAGAATCGAGAATCTAGGAAGATGAAGGTGGCTGGAAGTCACTGGGTAGGGCAGTGGAAAGGAGAGCACCACTCAGAGAGAAGCTGAAGGCAAGAAGGATGCAGTGAGAGAACCCTCAGCTTGGTACTAATTACTGCATGTGTGTGAGGAAACTACCCTAGCCAGAAAAGAACTAATGAAAAGGAAAAGGTAAAATAACCAGTGAAGTTCACACAGGGCCAGGAATAGTTTGAATTTCTACCAGCCAGAGTGGAAGAACATTGCAAATCATGGGGCATTGGGTGGAGTATGTAGAAGAATATTGCTTTGATAGCAGGGAAAATTAGCCTTAGATAGAAGCCCTCTCTATCTTAAAAAAAAAAAAAAAAAAAAAAGCAAAAAACTTAAAAGTAAGTCTTGAAAGAAAGTACTTCCCAGTAACAGGATACAGAACAAGAGCACACACACACACACTGTCACACATACTCTCACATAGTAAATCCAGTAAGGTAAAATTCACAACGTTACAATGTCTAGCATCTAATAAAACACTTCCAGCCATGCAAAGAAGCAGGCAAAAAATGAGCCATAATACGGACAAAAGTATATTGATAGAAATAGACATGAAAATAGTAGACAAGGACATTAGAGCAGTTACATAATTTTATTTCATCTTTCAGGAAGATAAAATCTTTGCATGTTTAGACATTTAAGATATAAAACACCCAAATCAAACGTCTAGGGATGAAAAAAATTAGTGTCTCAGATGACAAATAATTGGATATAATAACTACAGATGCTGAGGAAGAAACAATTACAAAACTTGAAAACACAGCAATAGAAACCCTCCAAAATGTAACACAAAGACAAAAAACATGAACAGCATCAGGGAGCTATAAGGCAACCTCAAAATGTAAAATTGGTGGCCCCAAAGAAAAAGAGAGAGAAGGATAGAGAAAAAATTGAATTAATAATCAATGGAAAAAAATATTCCAATTTGATGGAAACTATAAATTCACAAAATCAAGAAGCTAAATGAATCCCAAGCACAAGACACATAAAAAAACTACACTAAGGCAGATCATAAACTATTTAAAATCAGTGATAAAAAGAAAAATCTTAAAATCAACTAGAGACAAAGTCACCTGTGCAGTGAAACGAAGATAAGAATGGTGATAACAGCTTTCTCTTTAGGGACAATATATAAGGTAGAAGACAATAGGCCAGCATCTTTATAGAGGTATTACAGAAGCAACAACAAAACCTATCAGCATGGAATTCTAACCCCAGTTTTCAGAAATGAAGACGAAATAAACACCATTCACAAATATAAAAGCTGAAAGAATTTATCACCAGACTTTTACTACAGGAAATCTTGAAGAAACACCTTTAACATGGAAAATGGTATCAGGTGGAAATTTGGATGTATCCAAAGGATACAGCACTGGAAATGGTAAATATGTGAGTAAATATAGAATACTCTTTTTCCATATTTTGAAAAGATTTTTTAAAGATAACTGACCATTGAAATAAAAAATGATAACAATGTTTGGTGGGGCTTAAAATACGTAGAAGGAAACAACAATAACACAAAGGCTGAGAGGGGAGACATAGAAGTCTAACGTTGTCTGTATCCCAGCACTTTGGGAGGCCAAAGTGGGCGGATCACCTGATATGGTGAAACCTCATCTCTACTAAAAATACAAAAATTAGCCGGGCATTGTGATGTGTGCCTGTAATCTCAGCCACTCGGGAGGCTGAGGTGGGAGCATTGCTTGAACCCGGGAGGCAGAGGTTGCAGTGAGCTGAGATTGCACCACTGCATTCCAGCCTGGGTGACAGAGTGAGACTCTGCCTCAGCCAAAAAAAAAAAAAAAAAAAAAGAAGTTTAACGTTGTAAAGCTCTTACATTTAAATGAAGTGGTTTAATGTCACTTTAAGACACACTGTGATAAATTAAACATATAAGTCCTAATGCAATCGCTAAAATAAATCAATGAATGTTCTAAATCAATAATATATTCAATAAGCCAACAAATTAGATAAAATTGAGTCATAAAAAATACTCAGTGATTCAAATATAAGGCATACAAAGGAGAAAAGAGGAAGTAAGAACAGATGCGACAAAAAGAACACTAACATGATAAATTTAAACCCAACCATATCAATAATTTTTATGTGGTCTAAACACCCTAATCAAAAGGCAGAGATTGTCAGACTGAATTTTAAATAGCAAGATTCAACTATATGCTGTCTACAAAGCCATTTTTTGGTTGTCTGTGCCCATCTTTGAAGACTATACCAGCCCTAATGTCTGGGGCTCCACCCGTTACTTCTCTTCTCTGCCTCTGAAAAGCAAGAGCCTCTGGTGACTATGGACTTTACCAAAGTGTAATGCAAGTCACATTGTGTTTTTTAGAATTTTATCCCTAGTTTCTGGATTCTTCAGTTCTCAAAATGGCCAACCGATGTTTTCAGGAAGCATTCTAACTTAATGTGCTTACCAAATACCTGATATGTATCAAATTGTGAATTTCCCAAAACTGCAATTTGTGCCATGAATCTGATAATTTTCTCCTTCTCTCTTCCAACTAAAAGGTCCACATTATTATTAGTTCATTTATTAATTCATTCAACAAATAGTTAACACTTTAGAGCCCAGCCACTATGCTAGATATATTGTATGCACAGGTATACATTGTTGAAACAAACTAGGATAGTTTTTGTACCTATGAAACTTAAAACAGAAAGAAAATGTGGCACATATACACCATGGAATACTATGCAGCCATAAAAAAAGGATACGTTTACGTCCTTTGCAGGGACATGGATGAAGCTGGAAGTCATCATTCTCAGCAAACTGACACAAGAACAGAAAACCAAACACCACATGTTGTCACTCATAAGTGGGTGTTCAACAATGGGAACACACGGACACAGGGAGAGGAACATCACACACCAGGACCTGTTGGGGGGTGGGGGAGCTAGGGGAGCAATAGCAGGGGCTGGAGGGATTGGGGAGGGATAACATTAGGAGAAATAGCTAATGTAGATGACGGGGGATGGATGCAGCAAAGCACCATGGCATGTGTATACCTATGTAACAATCCGGCATGATCAGCGCATGTATCCCAGAACTTAAAGTATAATAAAAGATATATGTATATAGTAAAAGAGATACATTGTAAACAAATAAACATACAATTACATGTTGTGTTAAGAGCTGTAATGGAAACAAAAAGAAAACATCAGGAGACAGATGTTAAGTAGTACTGTGGCTGAAGGAATTGACATTGAGGGATAACATTTCAACTAATTCCTGGTTAAGAACTAGTCACAAGAACAGAGAGGAGAGTTTGGCCAAGCACAGGAACAATGTATGTCAGCACCTTGACATGGGAAAATTTGATCTATTTCAAGTACTTAAAGGATCAGAAGAGTCACCTGAGATAAGGTTGGGGTGACAAACAAGCCAGATCACACAGGACCACAGCAAGAAGTTTTCATTTCCTCTGAGTATGCTGACACATCACTGAAGCGTATAATAGAAGAATGTACGTGACTTAATTTACATTTTCAGACTTTCACATGCAAGTCTTTGGAAAATGGATGACAGTGGGATCGGAGTAGAAAGAGGGCAACTGGAATAATCTGGCAGTTTCTACTGACGCTGTGTGTGTGTGTGTGTGTGTGTGTGTGTGTGTGTGAGAGAGAGAGAGAGAGAGAGAGAGAGAGAGAGAAATTCAAGGGTGATTCCAACTGGGTGAGGGATACAAAGATAGGGTGGACAGGAGGAGTGGTAAGTTTGAGGGCGGGAATCAGGAATTCAGTTTGAGAATCAGGTTTGACAGATGTGTTTCCCTTGCTCAGGAGCCCACATCAACAGAGAAGCTGAAAAGCTGGACCCTTGGAAGAGGATCTCTAATAGTTCAGATCATAAACTAGGTCTCCTGACTCAAGAATGCATATCTAATGATACCTAGTGCATGCCTGGTTCCAATATGACTTTTCCCTGTCTGTTGTTCTGCTTTCCTTTTCCTTAGGACTGCTCTGAATGAGAGCCTGACTGAACTCCAGGATACCCACTCCCAACCTACACTCCCTTAAGAACATGCAGCATGAAGCTCTGCAGCTCTTAAGACAGAAACGATCAGCAGCCCTTTGCAAAACAAAGGCTGGATCTCATAGCCTATCCAGTTTGATTGCTTCTTTCCAAGCAATGGAATGACAGGTTTTGCAGGCTGAATTATTTCTTAGGTAATCAGTCTAGTCTTCTATCATTGCTTAATCTCTACGCCTCACTTAACGCAAGCCTAATATTTCTCCCTTCCCTCCTCCATGCAAAGGAAGTTGCTCCCAGCTTCTAAACCACACTAGTGATCTTGCTGTTGATTGACATCAAGCAAAGGAGATAAAGACGAGGTCAAGTATCTTCAATTTTAAAGATCTAGAATTGTCACCACAATGTTAGTGAGCCTAAAGTTTGCTGGCCCAAAAGGAGAGAAGAGGCTGCTGACCATGACATGTCTCTCCCATTGACACTAACGTCACAGACCTGGAGGCCACCTGGGACACCAGAGACAATGATGGCTTTGAAGTCCAGGAGGGCGAGCTCATGTCCTGGAGGCAACAGGAAAATTGTGAGCACCACACACTGGACAGAAGACAGAGTTGTCTTCCCATACCCTGAAGACTCTTGGCAGAGCACCCTCTCTTGGGAGCCATTGACCCTAGACCCAAACATCAGAAAAGTCTATCAAGCCACCAGCAGAACTGGTACAGCCCCAAGATACCAAAGGAGGTAAAAATACCTTGTTCAGCAGCACTTTTGCCTCCCACTAAAGCTGCCCTGCTGCTGGCTGTCAAGTTTCTGAACTTAGAATCCCGGACCCCTTCTTCAAGTTACCCTTAACAGTCCACTTGCCAGCCAGGCAGCCGGTCTATTCCTGTGAAATGAGCAACTTCATGGTTTCTCATGGGCTTGGGACTATTAAATATATATATAGATAGATAGATCAATAACCAAGTGGAAGAGGTTCTTTTTTTTCTTTTTTGAGACAGAGTCTTGCTCTTTCACCAGGCTGGAATGCAGTGGCACAATCTTGGCTCACTGCAACCTCCGTCTCATGGATTCAAGTGATTCCCCTGCCTCAGCCTCCTAAGTAGCTGGGACTACAGGCGCATGCCACCATGCCTGGCTAATTTTTTGTATTTTAGTAGAGACGAGGTTTTACCATGGCCAGGATGGTCTCGATCTCCTGACCTCATGATCCGCCCACCTTGGCCTCTCAAAGTGCTGGGATTACAGGTGTGAGCCACCACACCCAGCCTGTAAAAGGTTTTTATTATTTTTTTAAGCCATTAATAAAAAAAAGATACATTTTATTTCAAATTTACCTTTTTAATTTTTAAAAATGTATAACATTTAATTTAAAAAGATTGCACAGCTGGGTGCCATGGCTCATGCCTGTAATCCCAGCACTTTGGGAGGCCGAGGCGTGCAGATCAAAAGGTCAGGAGTTCGAGACTATCCTGGCCAACATGATGAAACCCCATCTCTACTAAAGATACAAAAATTAGCTGGGCATGGTGGTAGGCACCTGTAGCCCCAGCTGCTCAGGAGGCTGAGTCAGGAGAATCGCTTGAAACCCTGGAAGGCAGAGGTTGCAGTGAGTGGAGATTATGCCGCTGCACTCCAGCACGGGCAAAAAGGCGACACTCCGTCTCAAAAAAAAAAAAAAAAAAAAAAAAGATTGCTCTGACAGTTGGAAATAGTTAAATTATAGTATTATAGTACAGCTACTCAATAAATTCTGAAGACTATGAAACATTCTATGGGAGAAATGCTTGAAATTATATATGGAGTGTAATTACAATCATGAAGGTCATATACAAAACAGCAATAAAGGAAAAAATACTGTGAGGAAATGCACCAAATTGTTAATATCTGATACTGTTGTTTGATGAGAAATAGCATCTTTTTCCTTTTCTAATTGTTCAGTATTTATCATTCTTTTTCTCATAAATTTACATTCCTATTATGAGGCATGTTTATTGTTTTACTTTTAGAACAATTAGACATAAATTCTTCTGCTTGCCTACCCACACTCCTGTTAAAGATGTAGCTACAATTTAAATCTATATGTTAAAGTTACCATCAACCAAAGGTGAATTTAATAATGCCACTATATACAAAATATTATTTCTGTGAATTATATTTAACCAAGTCCAGGAGAACCAAACTTGTGGTCAGAACACTAGGATCAACTATTTTCCTGCTTTTTGAGATAATTATAGATTCACATGCAGTTGTAAGAAACAATACAGGGATTCCATATACCCTTTCTCCGCTTTACACCCTCTGTCACTCCAGTACAAGCCACACCAGGAAACTGACTTTGACAAAATCTGTGACTTTACTCAGATTTCACCAGTTTTTCACGCACTCATGTGTGTATTTAGTTCTGTGCAGTTTTTCTTTCTTTTTTTTTTTTTTTTTTTTTTGTTGAGACAGAATCTTGGTCTGTCACCAGGCTGGAGTGCCATGGCGCCATCTAGGCTCACGGCAACGTCTGCCTCCCGTTACAAGCTATTCCTCTGCCTCAGCCTCCCAAGTAGCTGGAACTACAGGTGCGTGCCACCACACCCAGCTAACTTTTTGCATTTTAGTGGAGGCAGGGTTTCACCACGTTGAGCAGGATGGTCTCGATCTCCTGACCTCATCATCCCTGCACCTTGGACTCCCAAAGTGCTTGGAGGATTACAGGGGTGAGCCACTGCACCCTGTCAGTTCTGTGCAGTTTTATCTTGTATGTACACGTGTGGAACCACTACTACAGCCAAAATTCAGAACCATTCCATCACTGCCGCTACGCTTTTCAACTCACAGCCACGTCCCTCCCCTGCTCCCTGACTCCTGGGAATGACCAACTTTTTGTCACTGAACAATGATCCATCCCCCATGCGGGATTCACTATCCCAGCATAGTGATTGATACAGTCAAATAAACAGTGTAGCCTAGTGTTTAGGTGTGCAGGGAGGAACCAGACGAACCGGGCTCAAATTTGAGGTGGCCACTGTGAGCTTTGAGAAGTATGAAACTCTTTATGCCACAGTTTCTTCAATAAGATAGGGATAATCATGTAATAGAACTTCATAGTGTTGCTAGAATTCAATGAGTTGATACTTATAAAGCAAGAAGAAAGCACCCAACATGAATAGATGCATGTTACCCTCTAAGAACTCCCAATCCAGTGCAGAATACACAACGCGCTAATCAGTTCAGCCTGTGTCCAGTGATGTAAGATAAATGTAAATACAGTGCAAGGGGGAGGATCTAGGAAGGGGCAGTTAATTCTGGCTGTGGAAGGCTGAGCCAGAAAGAGAATATTTGGGTTGGGCTTTGGAGTATGAGTAAGACTTTGCCAGGAGAAAAAAAAAAAAAAAAGATGTTTCATGCTGATAAGCAGCTTGATCTGTGACCCTGAGAAGGCACGGCCATTTCTAAGGACTAAAAGCTTGGGAAAAAAGCCTGGAAGAGTGGGGGGGGGGGGGGGGGGGGGTGGTGGTAGCCAAAGAGGAAGCCTGAGTGAAGGTTGGGGCCGAGTTTTGAGAGGTCCTTGAATGCCATGCTATAATTAGCAACAGCGATTGCAATCCTGGGGAAGACCAGAATAGAACAGAAAGCAGAAAGTGCCTCCAAAACTCAGGCACATCAGGAGGAGAAATCAGAACAAATGCCAGCCGTGGCAATCAATTGTAAACAATAGCAGCAGCAGCAGAACGTTTAAAACCTGGTCACCATTCTTGTTATAAGCACATTATCCCGAGTGTCTGGGGCAAGGGCATTAGAAGTTACGATGCTCATTCACGCCAGAACTTGTCCTCGCCCTGCCCGGCAGTTTCTACACCAGCCAGGTGTTCTTAATTCCCTTCACAGCAAACCTGAAAACGTCCTTTTCTGGGGTTGCAAAGGAAGTCCCTGGGCAGAGACTTTGACAGTTCCCAGTGTCTCTCCCAGTCTGCGGGGATCATTCACTTTTTCCCTCCATTGGTCCCCAGTATGTATCCAATCAGCCAGCCACCAGCCAGGGCTCTGGCAGTGCTAGTCCCTCAGCATGTGCCTGGCTCAGGCTTCATTTCGCTTTCTCTGCCTTGGACAAGTCTTCTCTTCCTGGTGGTTTCCAGGGGCCCTGACCTCCCATGCTTGCTGTGAATCTGATCTCCCTGGCCAGGGACTGTGCAGCTTTCTGCCTGGTCTTTCACAACTTATTCTTGCCTTTCTGGTCCTAGGTATTCCAGTGACCTGCTGCTGCCTACACTGGGGTGTGGCCCACAGAACCAGAACACATTACCTTGTGGTTTTGCTTCAAAAAATGTTCTCAGTCATCTGCCTCCTTCAGGTTATTTTTCTTACTATAGAGAGAGAGGGAGAAGGACCAAGAACGCTTATTTCACTTTTGTCTTCATAGACTGAAAAAATAATTACTATTTTTTAGAATCAGACACCTTTCTTTTTCTTCTGGCATTCTCATATCTGTGAGAAGAAAAAGATGTTGGAATAAATGGCTCTTGCTAAGTGCACGGTGGTAGTGGCATATGGTCTGGCTCTGAAAACTAAGTGTGGGAAGCAGGAAATTTCTTCTCCAAAGTTTTCTTTCTTGTTAAATAATAAATTTACTAACAACTCTTTGTTAAGCCCTATCCTATGTAGCTGTTAGACTTGCCATCCTTATAGGCCTGTAGTACATTCTATGTCCTTGTACTTTAACCAAGATCTCTGTGCTGGACATGCTCACAGGCATGTCCCTTACCTGTTTAAAAAGTTTTAAGTTATTTGCCAATCGGGTTTTAGTTTAGATTGTGAGGTATGGCTCCAACCAACAGAGATCAGACATAGCAGTAAGGACAACCCCAAATGGGTAAAGAATAAATATGTCTTTTTTCCTTTGTTCATTGTACTCTCGTGGCAAGATGGCTAGCGGGGGTACCCTTCCTGCAATGCAGGAAGTAAAAACTGCTTTGCTGAGAGATCCCTTGTCTCAGTGCTAATTTTATTTTGTGGCACCAAGCATCTAACACTAAGAAACTAGAAAAAAAAAAACTACAATAAAAAAAAAAAACCTCCCTGTCCTCTAAACAAAGTTGATGGAGTCTATGAACTAGTCAACAGATCACAAAGATGAAATGCAACCAAACAGGACTTAGGAAGAAATAGCCCCAGTTCTCCTAAAACAATACCTTGTGGTCCTCTATATAATTGAGCAGTCTTTTTTCTCTAGCCAGTATTTTAACTTCCATGACAAACTTCCTTCACTTGCAGTTGATCCATGAAAGATACGACTTAATAGGATATATCGAAAACACAACACCTTCCCAACAAAACTCATCAAGACATTTTCCCATGCAATGTACATCTTAGATAAAATTCACTTGCAACCATTCAATAAAATTCTTCAAGTAAATAAACAAAACATCCAACTATATTATTTGTAGAAAAAAAAGTTTCTGTGTTTGGAAAGATGCCAGTTTTTAAATTTTTTTTATTTTTGAGACAGAGTCTCGCTCTGTCACCCAGGCTGGAATGAGGTGGTGTGATCTCAGCTCACTGCAACCTCCACCTCCCAGGTTCCAGAAATTCTCTTGCCTCAGCCTTCCAAGTAACTAGGATTACAGGTGCATGCCACCACGCCCAGCTAATTTTTGTATTTTTAGTAGAGACAGGGTTTCACCATGTTGGCCAGGCTGGTCTCAAACTCCTGACCTCAGGTGATCTGCCTGCCTCAGCCTCCCAATGTGCTGGGATTACAGGCATGAGCCACTGTGCTCAGCTTGAAAAATGCCAATATTTTAAATTCCCCAAGTCTTTATGCCAACATTTTGTAGAGTTAGACCCTGTATCTTTCAGAGTTTGTGGAAGGGTGCCATCCGGTCTATGGGCAATTTGTATCTTTGCTTTCTGACCTTCACCCTGGCAGAGGGGAGCCCACTGGAGAGAGGAAATATACCATAAATGACAGCAGAGAAGGATGACTTATTTTCAGTTTAATGTGATAGAATAATCTGTTAAGAAATTAATTGCACCCAGCTTCTCACTGCAGCAGACACCTCTGTAAAGAACAAAAGTTCATTTCCTTTCCGCACACAGGCCCCGACCATTCCCCGCACCACTCCCATCCCCAGGATAGTTTTAACTGACTTTGTTTTTGCAGGGTCTAAAAGTGTCTCAAATTCTGAAATGTATAAAAGTTACCTGAGGGGCTTCAGGTGGATATTTCTGGGTATCTCCTTGGACCAGTCAATTAAGATTTCTAGGGATGGGAACTTCCATTTTAATCAAATTCTCTAAGAAATTCTGACCTGGGGTTTTTAAGAGCATTCTTTGAGAAACATTAGGTCCAGAGATAAACACACACAACACCATTGAAATACCGGGGTGGGCAACACAGGGGAGCCGAGGATCCAGGGAAAAGGCCCAGATCTCACAGCCTGGCATTTATCCTGGCAGTCAGGGGTCACTGCTGGGTTTTTTTGTTTTTTGTTCTGTTTTTTGAGACGGAGTCTCACTCTCACCCAGGCTGGCGTACAATGGCGCAATCTCGGCTCACTGCAACCTCCACCTCCAGGTTCAAGTTATTCTCCTGCCTCAGCCTCAGGAGTAGTTAGGATTACAGGCACGTGCCACCATGCTCGGCTAATTTTTTGTATATATTTTTTTAGTAGAGACGAGGTTTCATTGTGTTAGCCGGGATGGTCTTGATCTCCTGACCTTGTCATCCGCCCTCTCAGCCTCTCAAAGTGCTGAGATTACAGGACTATCCAGTTTTAAGTGGGACTGGGATGTGGTCAACTCCATAGCTCATAGCCCACGTGTTGCCTTCTCCTAGTTCAGAAGGTGTTCCTGCTCCTCCATGCTCCATATTAGCCTTTCATACTTCCAAGTCACCACTGACCACACCGTCCCGACACCATCATTCAATGATCTCCCCTCCACCAGCAAGCTTCTGTGAGCAAGGAAGTGCTCGCATTCCATTTACCATGTCACCACCAAATGGTCCTGATTTTTCACCATCAAATGATCCTGGAAGCAACATCAATTTCCCTCAGACCTTGCTCACTTGTCCTGGAATGCCTCATTTCTAGCAGAGAAACTGGGCCTCACCTATCTGAACACCTCCCCACCTGTCTGAACCTCTCATAAACCAGAGGCTATCTGCCTTACGGAAGGCAACAGAATAAAACAGCAGATGTCTGAAGACTTGATCATATTTGAAGTTAGTTTACAATTTTGTGTTCCAGAAAGAACTGAAGCTCTCACAACCCTCCAAAGTCCACAGGTGCAGGCCAAGCCCCTAAAGGCAATTTAAGGAATAGGAAAATGTATCCACAGCTGATTTCAGCATGAAAGCACGTGGTGTCCAGAGTCTTTTAAATCCTTAAAGCAAAACACCTGTACTCTGTCCGAGGCCGCCCCGCTCCCCACCCAGCTCCAAGCACCTGTTTCTATCCGGCCAGCACGTTGACTTTCTACCCTCCACCACTCAGAATAAGAGGCAAGAATTTTTAAATTCTGATTTTGCTGTTATGAAGATGTTAAGAAACATTCCATGAAGCAGGAATCATAAGGATTCACCCCTGTGAGATCTCCCCTAAGAAAGACCCTTCCATTTGTAGAGAATAAAACCGAAACATCAAATGGATGAAAACACAGTGACCACACCTTCCCTGGCAGGGCCGCCTTCTGGCTGTACCTGAATTTCCTCTGTGTGCACTGCATCCGATCTACGGAGTCTGTGGCCCTCTCAGCTCCTTCTTCATCATCTGCCGCAGGCCTTGTGCAGCGGAGACCCTCAAATCAGTCCTGGCGCAGTGGCTCACGCCTGTATTCCCAGCACTTTGGGAGGCGGAGGCAGGCGGATTACCTGAGGTCAGGAGTTCTAGACCAGCCTAACCAACATGGTGAAACCCCGTCTCTACTAAAAATACAAAAATTAGCTGAGCGTGGTGGCGGGCGCCTGTGATCCCAGCTACTCAGGAGGCTGAGGCAGGAGCATCGCTTGAACCCGGGAGGAGGAGGTTGTAGTGAGCCATGAGCTGAGATGGCGCCACTGCACTCCCTCCTGGGCCACAGAGTGAGATTCCATCTCAAAAATAAAAAAATCAGGACGGGACCTTGAGGCTAATACTGAGGCTTGGAGAAGCTCTAGCGTGGGAGTTGGGCAACCCAGCGCTTGGGGACCCCTTTGAGGAGTGGCTCTAGAAATCGCCTTGCAGTCCACAGGACCCAGGACCGAGTCCGCCCTAGGGTGTGGGTGAGCCCTCCGAGGACCACCGGCTGGCCTCGCTCCGGTCCCCCACCCCCGCCTCAGCCTCGCCCTCCAGCGCCGCCGCGGGAGGGGCCGCCCGGAGGAGACCCGCACCTGGGCCTGGCGCCTGGCCGGCGGGGGAGGGGAGCAGCCGGCGCCCAGGCCCGGGTCCTCCCCGCCCTCGCAGCTGCTCCAGCGGAGCCTCCCGGGCCGGCCTCGCCCTGGGGGTGGGGGTGAGGGGGCGCAGCCTCGGGCTGCGGCTCCCCGGCCCGTGCGGGCTGCACACCTGCCGGCCCCGTGAGGCCTCATTAGGCCGCGCCTGTGCAGCACAGGCCGGCCGCGGCGGCGGGAGTCCAGGCCATGGAACCCACGAAGGATCCCTGCCAGGGACCGCGGGGTGAGCGCGGAGTCCCCAGCGCGCGAGGGGGTCCGGCTTGGGGGGCTCGGTGAGGGGGGAGGCCTGTGGTCACCAGGTTAGCATTAGACGACCTCAGAGCTTCTGGCGGCCAAGGGCCGGGTGGAGGTCCGGTGGGGTGGAGTAGGTAGGGTAGAGTAGGGTAGGGTGGGAGGAGGCCGACCTCGCCCTGCGCTTTGGGGTTGCAGCCCCCCAATCTCCCAGTGCGCGCAGGGGAGAGAAACCTGGGAGCCCCAGGATTCTAGTCTGGGGTCTGACACCTGTCCCTTTACTAAGGCACATCGCTCCCATAGGACACGCGCTACGGAGCACCCACAGTGCTAGGTTTTTGCTACAGTACAAGCTCTCCTAAAATGTCATAAACAAATTTGTTCCTCCTTCCTCACACCACCAGCCAGCTTTGTCCCTTCACCCCATAGAGGCCTGCTCACCCTCTTCACCAGCCCAGTTCCTCTCATGCAAGTCGGGTCCAGCCTGTGCCCTAGGAAAGGACTTGAAACGGCACCTTTGCCCATGACCTTCCCTCATTCCTAGGGCTGGGTGCTGTGGTTCATGCCTGTAATCCCAGCACTTAGGGAGGCCCAGGCAGGTGGATCACCTAAGGTCAGGAGTTGGAGACCAACCTGGCCAACATGGAGAAACCATTTCTATAAAAATACAAAAATGAGCCAGGTGCGGGGGCACCCACCTGTAATGCCAAATACTCAGGAAGCTTGAACCCAGGAGGCTGAGGTTGCAGTGAGCCGGAATCATGGCACTGCACTCCAGTCTGGGTGACAGTGAGACTTCATCTCAAAAAAACAAACAAACAAAACATAAGACCTATCTCGCAGTTTTCATTAAAGTAACAAATAGCTCTTAGTCGCTACTTAGCATTCATTACAAATGTTCCAGTTTACTTGGAAATGCTAAAGCAGCTCCCTGAGCTGAGAGTTCTTGAGATTATGAGGCAGTCATGAAGGTGGGGGGATCATTTGATGGCCCCAGGAAGGACTCCATGTTGTGATTAAGTACACAGAATATGCGCTCAGGGTGCTGCGTGACCTTGGACATACTACTGTGCCGGCTCATCCTCATTCTTTCATCTGCTAGAAAGCAATATTAATAGAGATTAAATAGTCACTGTGCTAATCTTGGAAAGGTGCTTAGCGCCATGCCTGGAATATGGTAAGCTCCTGATGCCTCCGTCAGCTCACAGAAAGGAAGCCAAGCTTTAGGTGTGAGTAGTAAGGCTTTAGTTCTAGCTGGGTTGCAATTTCCTTACTTGAAAAAGAGGTTGACCAGGGAGTGAGGTTCTGCTTTGCAGGGAGGGGGAGAAAATGGATGTGCTGTGGGGAAGGTGGGGGCACGTATGGGGCTGAGGAGGGTTGGCAGAGACAGAGTTCTCTGGTTGTCCCTGTTACTGCCTCTGATGCTCTTGCCCCAGCTGCTGGGGACCATCAAATCCTGCCTTGTCCTGTTTCCAAGTAATAATGCCTGTTTCCAAGTAATAATGCAGTGGGAACTGCATCCAGCGTTGGGAGAAGCAGAATCTCTGTCAACCTGTTTATCTTCCTTGTCCACCCCCAGCCCCAATATGGTCCGTTGGACACCCCTGAACAGTCCCTCAAACCCATATGCCTCGTGTCTGGGGAAGAAGGGAACTCACAAGGAGTGAGTACTCCCAAATTAGGAGATAGCATGAGCCTTCTCAGAACTGCATACATTTGTCCACATTTTTCAGAGTTGGGTTATCCGATTTAATCCTCACAATAGTCTAATTAGAAAGGTAAGTGTGAAATTATTACCCCATTTGATAGGTGGACAAATGAAAGCTTAAGATCAAACTGTTTGCAGAGCAGGAAGCAACACTTCCTCTTGGGCCAGTTCTTCCTTCTCTCTGGTGCTAAGGTCAGTGGATGTTGGCTCCCCACAGGCCAGGAAGCTGGAGGCAAGCCCCTGGCCGCAGGACACGAGGAGGAGGAACCACTACAGGACGCAGCCCCTCATGCTCAGGATAGTCAGAGGGAGGAACTGCCACCCTCCTGCACCATCTCGGGAGAGAAGAAGCCACCAGCAGTCTCTGGAGAACCTGCTGGGGCTGATGCTGGGAGACTGTGCCCACACCCCAGCTCCAGGGCTCCCCACAAAGACAGAGCTCTAGCCCGCTCCAGACCCCAGCCTCAGGCGGAAGATGGTTCCCTCCCAGTGGAAGAGGTGAAGATAGGAAAGGGGTCCTATACTCCGGCCCCGGGGAAGCAGAAAAAGCCTAATGCCACGGGTCTGGCCCCAATATCATCTCCTGGTGTCCCTAGCTCAGCCCGTCCTACGCACAACCCAGTGCCCTGTGGGTCAGGTCGGGGCCCCTGTCACCTGGCCAACCTCCTTAGCACATTGGCCCAGAGCAATCAAAACACAGAGCAGAAGCAGGGGCCCCCGGAAGTGACCTGCCAACTTAGGAAAAAGACACGAACCCTATACCGCTCAGGTAAGTCCCTAAAGGTGAGGGAAAATTCAAGAGATCTGGGGTCATCCTGGGAAAGTGGGGCTGCACGAAGAATGTAGCCCAGGAGACCAGACGGATGTGGTTAGTTTGTATGTCACTTCTTCCTGGATTCTCTCTTGGGTTGTGTTAGTACCACTATCTCTGACCCTCAGAGGGAAGGTTGGGTTATCACATCAGAAAATGAGATTGGAGCCAGGCACAGTGGCTCATGCCCGTAATCCCAGCACTTTGGGAGGCTGAAGCAGGTGGATCATCTGAAGTCAGGAGTTTGAGACCAGCCTGGCCAATACGGTGAAACCCTGTTTCTACTAAAAATACAAACATTCGCCAGATGTGGTGGCTTGTGCCTATAATCCCAGTTACTCAGGAGGTAGAATTGGGAGAATCCTTGAACCCAGGAGGTGGAGGTTGCAGTGAGCTGAGATCACGCCACTGCATTCCAGCCTGGGCCATCTCAGAAGAAAAGAAAATGAGGTTGGGACCAGGGTAGAAGAGTAAGGAAATTAAATGTCACACAGCTCTCTGCTGCAGCACTCAAGAACAAGAAGGCCCAGCCCAACAGGGAAAAGGCTTTGGGAAGGCATTGGGTTAGGGACAGTGGCCCCATCTGCTAGAGGTACTTGGCAAGCATCTGTCTCCTCTCCTGCCTGTCACTGGCCTTTGTCTTCCTCACACGTTTCTTCTTCTTCCAGATCAGCTGGAGGAGCTAGAGAGGATATTCCAGGAAGACCACTATCCTGACAGTGATAAACGCCGGGAGATCGCCCAGAAGGTGGGGGTGACCCCCCAGCGCATCATGGTAAACAGGGCCTGCTCACTGGTGGGGGGTGGGGTGGATGAGGGCCCATCATGGAAACTCCCAAGTTGTTGTAGAGCGAGAGCTCAGTGGCAGCTAGGGTAGGAGCTGAATTGAGCCTCAGACATGGCTGTGTCCCTGTTTCCAGGGGGCCACAGCCTGAGACTGTCAGGAGGGAAGGCACTGCAGAGACTTTTGATAAAACCAGACTGACAGAGGCCTCGGAAGCAGAGTGCTGGAGTGACCTTCCAAAGTCCTGTAGCTGCTTGTGCAACAGCCAGGACCTAAGCCTCAGTCTCTGCCCCTTTTCTCCAGTTCTTCAAGCACCTTTCCCCCTATAGGTGTGGTTCCAGAATCGCCGGGCCAAGTGGCGAAAAACTGAGAAACTGAATGGGAAAGAGAGCAAGGACAATGCTTCAGCCCCTGGCCCGGCCAGCAGTCAGTGCAGGTAGGAATCTCTCCTCTTTCTGTATCATCCCTGTGGGTGGAAGTAGGGTCTGAGTTGGGATCCTGGTCTAGAAAGAGAGTGTTGGAAGGCTAGGCATGAGTCCTGGGGTTGCCAGCTAAGATTTAGAGGGATTTTGGCTGCCCTGGGGTTGGGAAGTTTCTCGTGCCCCGTAGGAGGCAGAGTTTGGGAATTGGTGTCTCTCCCGGCAATGAGGCACCTGGGCAAAGCCAGAGACCACCAAAGCTACAGTCTTCGTTCTTCCTGCCTCCAGCTCTACAGCTGAGCTCCTGCCTCCTGTGACCGTGGAGCCAAAGCCTGACCCTTTCCCTCCGGAGTCCCCTCTGGATACCTTTCCAGGTGAGCTCCCACCTTCAGAGCTGGAGGAAATGGAAGCTAAAGCTAGTGAAGACAGAGGGGCCTTGTTTGATGGAGGTGGGAGTGACCGGAGTCCTCCAGTGTTTGGGGCCAGCGGGGCCTATGCAGAAGGACCCGGGCATGGCTTGTCTACCATTCATCAATCCCAAACCTGCCTCCCATTTCCTTACCCTGAGAGCCCCTCTCTGCCTTGTTCCTAGAGCCCCCCATGCTGCTGACTTCTGACCAGACTTTGGCCCCCACCCAACCCAGTGAGGGTGCTCAGAGAGTAGCAACTCCCCCTCTCTTCAGCCCCCCACCTGTGCGAAGGGCCAACCTTCCTTTCCCCCTTGGCCCTGTCCACACCCCCCAACTGATGCCGCTGCTGATGGACGTTGCCGGCAGTGACAGCAGCCACAAGAATGGCCCCTGTGGGTCCTGGGGGACAAGGTAAGGAAGCTATGGGGGTAGATCACTGGAGTTATCGGGGGTGGGGGGTATAGATAGAGAGAAGATAGACCCTAAGAGGGGAGAGGTTAACTGAGAGGAGCACGGAGCAGTGCTGGAGATGGTGATGAAAGGGATAAGGGGATCTGGGCTGGGAATGACCTGGGGGTGGGGGAGGGCACAACAATAGAGCAGAAACAAGGGCAAGATGCCAGGAGCAGGAAGAGGGAGAAGAGGCAGCTACAGTGGCCTTGCAAGGCTGGGAAGGAGATGGGAAGGAGGTGCGAGGAAGGGACTCGGCTACTGTGGTAGGAATGGGGAGCTCCCCCACCCCCACAGCTACCCCACCCCCGCAGCTCCCCCCACCCCCGCACTGCCCCCCACCCCTGCACCTCACCAGCTGTTCCTCTGTCTTTGCAGCATTACCCTGCCGCCCCCCTGTTCATATTTGGAAGAGCTGGAGCCCCAGGATTACCAACAGAACAACCAGCCGGGGCCCTTCCAGTTCTCCCAGGCTCCACAGACCCCACTTTTCCAACCCCCTCAGCCCCAGTTTCCCTACCTCCCCAGTTTCCCCTTCTCTATGTCCAGTTCACTGATGCTTCCACCACCTGAAGACTCTCTGTTTACATTCCCCTGCGGCTCCAGCGGGGGCACATCGCAGGGCTATTGCCCAGGCACCTCCTCGGGGCAGATCCTGATGCAGCCGCCTGCTGGGAATATGGGTGAGTTAGGGCTGGGAGGGAAGGTCCCCTTGTGATTGAGGAAGGTGGGAAAGGGACAGAGAGCCACCTTATCTGGAGGGTAGACTGAGGCAGGTCATGGATGGTGAGTGAAACCTTTTGTTTGCACCTAGTTCTCTTGACTAAGCTCTTCTCCCTCCAATTCTGCAGACGCTGCAGTGTACAGTGAGAGTTAGCAGAGAACTCTGGAGTCTGGCATTAGGAAAACAGGTTTGAGGTCCAGCCCGGCCAGTTACTAGCTCTACCAAGTCTCAGTTTCCAGGACTCTGAAATGGGATTGATAGTTCTATGTTAGGGAGGGATTTGGTGAGGATTAGAAACAAAAATACTTGGCCTAGAGTCGATGGCAGCTAATATTCTACGGGGCCACTTGGATCTCTGAAGTCCTAGAAACATCTGTCATATTAAAACTAGATCCTAGCAGAAGGCAGGGAAAGATCAGGGGGTTCCTGGTCTCCTTGTTGGGTGTATGAGACAGCATTGGCCTGATCCATGGTTCACTTGTGTCAATGTCACTAAACCACAGGACCTTGAGTCCAGGAGCACCTGTGGTTCTGAGGACAGAGCCTGAGGCTAGAGTTTCACCCAGACTTGCACTGGGGTCCTAAGCTGAGTCTGTGTGTGTTGGGTTGTGGGGGGGATCTGTTGTAGAACACCCTGAATGATAGTTGATACTCTTAGTCCTGTCTCACAATTCCTCCATCCTCTGACCCCACAGGTGCAGCCTCCTGGAGTGACCCCTCTTTGCTGGAACTGCCCTTCCCAGGTCCGTTCTGCCCGCAAGCTCTGGGGCACCCCCCAGGAGGTGACGGCTACTTTCCTGATCTATTTCCAGCTCCCTGCACTCAGGCTCCAGGCAGGCAGTCTTTGTCAGGTCTCTCCCGGCTGCCTGAAGGGGCCAGGCCAGGGACCGGGCCCTTACACAGCAAGGCAAAAGAGGAACCACTGGCTGCTTCCCTGGATCAGCCCTCAGCACTGGAGGAGGCCAGAGGGGATGACAAGAATAGCCATGTCCCCTAGTTGCGGGGGACAAAGAGTGAAAAAGGGCTGCTTGGTGGGATAGGATTGGGCCCACTCAGAGGACAGGGGTTGGAGGTTTGGGAAAGAGTGTGGACTCTGTAGACTGAGGCGGGAGTCAGACATTTCCCCTGCATAGGCTCGTCTTGCTGATATAAGAAGGAAGAGGGAGGGCCCTTTCTTTTTCTCCACAATTCTATGTGGGGCTCCTGAAGAAAGCAGGTGGCCTGTGTTACTTATGAATGCTGTATCAGGTGTTTTTGTTTGTTTCCTATCCTGCTTGATGAATGAGCTGGAGTGTTCACTGTAAGCAGTAAACTAGTCCACCGTGGGGTTTTCTCTGTGGTTATGCGTCTCCGCATTCACACTAAGGAAGAGCTCCATTTTCTGCCTTTTCTTCCATTTGGCTGAGCAGTTGTTGGATGTCATTCGCAGGTGGGGCACCACTGGGCGGGACCACATGGAGGGCTCCTTCCTTGGGCCTATCTCTCCCACTAAAGAAGGAACTGGGCATCTTGGGCTCTTCCTTCTGAAAATGTCCTGACATTTAACCATATTCTATTCCCAAACCCATGACTGAACCTGAGCAAATCTGAGCCTGGGCCTTGCTCTGGAAGTTGGGCCCTGTAGGGACAGGATCACAAGAGAAGTCTGAGACTGACTTATTTTCCCACAGTTCTTTTTGTGTGTGGGGGGGTGGGGGCTGGGGAGCACTCTGAGGATAGCAAGTAAATATCCTCCAGGATAATCTAGTGGAGGAAAAGTGAGGGAGCACAGAATAGTACAGGAGGTGGGGATGAGAGGGATAAGGGGATTTGGGCTGGGAGTGGCCTTGGGGGATCAGGCTCCAGTGGGGGCACATTGCAGGGCTGTTGCCCAGGCGCCTCCTCAGGGCAGATCCTGAGGAATGGGGTGAGTTGGAGCTGGGAGAGAAGTTCTCGCCTGCAGAGGAGGACATGACAGCATCCCCAGACTGTAATGGTCCAGACTTCACTGGGCCAGGATGAAGCATCCAGAATAGTTTGTGTCTCCCCCACCCCAGCTTGCAGAGGCACCAAATGACACTTTGCCAGAGATCACCTAAAACTATCACCAACCATTCCATGCTCAACTCCCACCCATAGACTGCAATTTTACCTCCTCCATTTGTTTATGATTACCTTTTGAAACTGGGTGCTAATCTCAGGAGGTTTGGTTATAGGTTGAGATGTCGGAAGAGGAGGGAAAAAGAGAGAGCTTACCCAAAGATGGAGAATGCTCCCTAGATGCCTCCACAAGGGGTCAGGAGCTCAAGAAGGAATGGACACTGCCGGAGGACATACCACCTCCTGTTCCATTGCACAGAGTGATTCTGCATTCACGCTGAACTTGAATAGCTTCCTTCTGTCCTCTGGTGGGGGTGAGCCAAATTAGGCAAATGACAAATTAGGCAACGAGGAATAAACATCAATTAGAACTTACTGGTTCTGTGCTTGAGATCCTGCTTTAGCATGTTCAGGGCTAAAGGGAGCATGAGAAGGAGGGTAAGCAACCAATCTGTATAAAAAGAGAAGTGGGTGGTCCCTGGGAGATGAAACTGAAAAGGACCAGAAAGGTGAATGAAGGGTGAAGACAGCAGCTATGAGCAGTAGCAAAACGTTGACTGGGTGACGAAAGAGGCACAGAACCATAGAGGAAAATCTACCCTAAAATACATTTAAACAGAAGAGAAAAGTTAAGGCACAGATCTAGAAATTGGAGGAAAGGGACCTGAGGGGTCTACAGTAGGAAAGAACAGGTCAGGAGGGGAACAAAGGAAAGGGGCTCAGGGGTGGGAGAGACAGGAAGATGACACGTGAATCAGGAAGTGGAATTGAAAGCAGAGAAAGCTGAAGGGACAGGAAGATGAATATGGAAAGGGAGAAAGGAAATACCTATACAGATCAATGTCCCCCTAATAGATAAAGAAGAGGAGTGTCTAAGGATTAGGGAGGTGTGATTAAAACAATAGATAATGCAAGCTGATGAGAAAATGTCTCTGAAAGGATGCAGAAATCCACCAGAGGGGCAAAAATAGGAAACCAGAAGGTCGGCTTTGCTCGTATGTGATGGGGATTGTAATAGCCAGATTTCAGTATCCTTAATTTACGGATTAGGATATGTGTTTGTTGAATTATGCAATGTATTATGCATAACTGAGATTTTAGAAGTATACATTTACATATCTCTTTTTACGTTCTGTCTCATGAGGTTCATGAAATGAACAGCCTAAAACCAGACATAGGGGAAATAGAAGATTATACCTGCTCTTTCCATTAGTCATCAGAGCATTCTGCTGCTTTCGAAGCCCTCCACAGTGGCTGGATATTTTCTCCTCCAGACCTCAACTGGTTTATGCCTCTGATATTCAATGAGTAGTAGCACCTCTGTATGGAGCAAAAACAGCATCTAACAGCAAGAACTGGAGGGTAATCAACTTTGAGGTCTGTCCTTACATGCAACTCCTAGATAAAAAGTGTTGATGATCTAGATCTAATAGTATACTAAAAATAAAATGAGTTAATTGAGAATTAAACCCTAAACAAAGAGAAAATGGTGAAAACTTCTTAGAAGTATAGAAACTTAGGGGTGAAAGAAAAAAATCCAAGCTCCTGATCTGCAGGAATCTCTTCTACCCACCATTGAGGGGAGAAGTATTGTTTTTCCAGTAGACCGCCTGGGGCTTGAGGCTAACTCCCTTACACAGGAGCCTACAGAATTTTTGAACAACTTTATTATAAAAAGTTCTTCTACTAGAAATACACCAATATTGAGTTTGATGGATCTGGAGTTTGTTTCCCAAGCGCTACAAAAAATAAATTGCAAATCTTAGGACTGTCTATCACTCCTATTATAAAAGTTTTGCCTTCTACAGGCAGTGATGGGAGCTTTGTCTGCTAGCCCTCATGGGGCTCAGCCTCCAGGCTCTTTGCCACCCTGGACGCCTCCTTTCAAATAAATGTGATTTTGTCCGTGTTCCTTTTAGGAGTAGTGTGGGAAATGAAGCCGACTTTAAATGTGGTCTAGTCAACAGTTTGGTACAGCTGTCATCCCCATTAAATAGGATACTCTGCAAATGGTGTCTCTGTTAAAAACTCACTAGCATTTTTGTACAGCTGGTTCATTTTCTTGGTTCAAAACTATGACCTGTAGGTCATTTTAATAGAAGCTGTTTTAAAGGCAGTTTACCTTCCTGATTTTGCACTTGGAGAATTGACATTTCTAATCTAATACAGAGATTCATATGGCCTGTTCAGTTTCATTCTGTCAATATTAGCCCGATATTGAGCTTAATATGGTCTGGAGTTCTTATGTACTAGCTTTTTTTTTCCCCCAGTTTTGTTCTGCCTGCAAATTTGATCAATTTTAGGAGTTTTATACATTTTATAATTAAATAATTAATAACAGCATATAGGTCAGTACAGGACATTTTGGTACTCCTCTTTGAAAATACTCCATTAATGGGTACTTTTTTGAGTAGAGGGTTAAACTAATACAAATCTTCCTAAACTGTATTATCATCCCATACCATCCTTTACTAGCTCCCTCAAGGATTTTAGGAATAAAATTCCTGTATGATTCAATAAAATCAAAAACATATTTCTGTATAGCACTCTGATAACATTCTTGTAAACCTAAATATATAACAAATGAGATGGATTAGTTTGGCATGGCTTATTCATAAGGAACACCTGTTGTCTTTTATGGTTATTTTTTTACCTAAGTGTTCATAAGCCATCTTTCAAGAATCTCATAGAATTCTGTAAGATTTTACATTAAATTTATTGTCCTTTAGTTTCAATAAAACATGTCATTGGAAGTTAGGATATTTTCCTCTAGTAAGTCTTAGAAATCATCTCGTCCTGTACTAGAAAAAAAATACAGAATGATTAAAAAGTTAGAAGACTCCAATTTGGGTTTTTAAGTCCATCTTCTTTTTTTTTTTGAGATGGAGTCTTGCTCTGTCACCCAAGCTAGAGTGCAATGGCGTGATCTCTGCTCTCTGCAACCTCCGCCTCCTGGGTTCAAGTGATTCTCCTGCTTCAGCCTCCCGAGTAGCTGGGATTACAGGCACCCACCACCATGCCCAGCTAATTTTTAGTAGAGACAGGGTTTCACCACATTGGCCAGGCTTGTCTCAAACTCCTGACCTCAGGTGATCCACATGCCTTGGCCTCCCAAAGTGCTGGGATTACAGGTGTGAGCCACTGCACCTGGCCCAACTCTTAATTTCTAGAATATTTTCATTTCTTTGGGAAGATGGTCTGAAATAAAACTCAAGTGCACCTGCTGTGTCTGTATCGTATGTTGACATGATGTCTGCCTGCAGGAGTATATTTTTCTTTCTTTTCTTCCTGTCCCAAGTTTGGTTTTATTATTATCATTGCTAATGTTACTATGAGTATTGGTCTTTAGCATGCTTGCAGCACGGAGTTTCTTCCAGGCTTCTCACTTCGAGATACCATCTTTGGAATTCCAGCATGTGTTTCAAGTTTTGCATTTTTTCAACCTTTTCAAGATCTGAGCTTGCCTGCGTAGTCACATTGTTACCTTTTGGATGACTTCCTTTATCACTGGTTGTAACGATGTGTGATTATATCTTTAGAATTTTGTTTCTGTTCCACATCACTTTGAGCCATCTTCAGGTGGAAGAATCTTGGGCTTCTTACAGGTAGTTCTAGCTTTTGTTCTGGTTTTGTGTGGAGAGGGAGAAAAGTTTCTGCATGCTGGAATGGAGCAATGGTCCAGGCACTGCTCCGCTTAAACACGAGGCAAATGCATTTCAGCCTTGCTCCTTTTCCATCGGCCCCCTGCCCTCCCTTTCCGCCTCCCCTGTCCTCCTCCTCTAACAGTGCAACCTCAGGACTTCGCAGTTGGCCAGAGCGGAATCCTTCCCAGCAAACTCCAGGAAAAAAAAAAAAAAAAAAAAATTCTGTCCAGTCCTCCAAGTTTAACTTCCACTACTAATATATTTCCACTAGATGGCAGTCTACTACTAGTTACACCGTGGCCCTAAAATACTCTGGTTGTTTACAGCAAGAAAGTGCATGCGAATGTTCAACTCTTTTGCCAAAATGCCCCAGAGCCCCATCCTGTCAATAATACCAGGCTCAAAGTTGTTGAAGTCATCTGAGTTACATTTCCAGATATAGGATGTTCAGTTAACTTTGAATTTCAGAAAAACAATAAGTAATTTTGTAGCATAAGTATGTTCCCTGCACTATTTGGATATCCTGCATTTTAAATTTGTTTAAATTTTTATTCTTTTGCTAAACCTGGCAAATCCTGGTTGTAGCACTTTGCTAATGACGTCTACATC